CAGTGGTCACCGAATTCACTTGATATAAATGTCCTTTTAATTTTCCGGTCTTGGGGATTTTAAAAAGTAAGGTTGGCACTAAAAAAATACCAAAATGTCGATCGTCTGAAGCAAGCGCTAAGCTGAAAGTAGGTCAAAATACCACAAAACCATTTGCGGGCAGCACATAATAGCTTCATTGGCCGTTTGAAGGCCATAATGTTTTCTAGAGGTGGCCATATTGAACATTTTGTTTTTGCAGTCAAAAAAGTTGTATACGGACAATTGAAACCAAAAACTGTTTTTAAAGTCACTTATTATTTGACAATATTTAACGCAATTAAATGGTCACCTAAAATAATTAAATTAAATTGAAACCAAATTTTTTTACAATCCATTACTATTTACTTTTTTATATTTGAAATAAATATTAAAATGCCTTTTAATGACAAATATAAATTGAAAACACTCGTAAATAGTAGCATAAGAATTGTTTAATCAATATATGCTTCGATATTATACATCTAAAATTGTATATATTGTATATATACAATTTGTTTCAATATGAAAATAACGTTGTTCTGGTATTTCACTTGTTCTATTTGTGATAACTCTCAACATGTAAAATTTCTTTATGTTGTTAATAAATCAATTAAATTTTATCACTACTATTTTTAACAAAATAATAAATAACAAAATATTAACTGACAAATAATATATAACAAAAAGTCAATGTGTAATTAAAATTTTAATTTAAATAAATTTTAAAAATAAGTGGCATTAAATTTAAATTGGCAATAAAAACAATAATAACAATAGACAGTAGATAAAGATAGTTTAAATATGTATACATATAGACAGATACTGCTGTCTTTTAATATACTGTATCACTATACCACTATAGTATTTAGCATCCGTTCTGCTTGACATTATTATATTATTATTGACTGTTAATAATAAAGTTTCGCAACACAATCCACCATTTTTGAAAATAACTTATATGGAAAACCATATTTTAATTAAAATTATTTTATATTTTTACTAACATTGTATAGTTGTCTATATTTCCAACTATTTTAAGTACTAACGATCCAAGCATAAAAAGTTATTTAAGACAATGAATTATTTAAATTTAATGATTTGAAAAATAAATTTATTTACTACGGTAATAATTTATAATATTTATGAATATCATAAAATATTTAAAGAAACATTTAACTTTGCCTATAAAAAATATGCAATTCTATAATCCAAGCAATAATAAAAATAAAGGAAAACTATAAAAACTTACATTTTGCAATTGCTTCGTACTGTGAGGTGATTTGTTATATCAGTTATTGAACTTAAGTATGTGAAATTTATGCACCAAATTGATTTTAAATTAATTACAATAATATATAAAAATTAAATGTTGTAAAACTGTATCCAAACTACAAATGTTAAGTAAAAATCACACTCATTTTAAAAGGCTTTGTTAAAAATTTCATATTATATTTATGAAGTAATTAAAAACATTAAGCATTTAATTCATTTATTCCCATTAAATTTCTTTTAAATTCCTAATTAATTAAATTTTTTTTTCTTACAGGTAAAAATCAATTTTATGAGCAGTACTCTATGTGAAAGTGAGTGAAATAATTAGTTTCGTTCGTGTCTTACTATATGTAAATTTCTTAGTTTAATCATATTGTTATAAAAATCGATAAAAGATGTATTTAAAAATAATTTTAAATTAATTGTTTATTCAATTGCTTGTTGTTGGAATCTATTATGACAACAAAATATAATTTAAAAATATAATTATACCTATTGATTTAACTAAATTATGACTTTAACATTATAATTTAATTTTTAAAAATAATATATAAAAATGTTGTTAAAATTACAATTAGAATAAGTATTTAATACGTATAAACTATAGCTTTATAGACTAAATAGAATTTCTCTAAAATTATTTGCAATTAAAACAATTTTATGCCATGTTATTAAGAAACTTCGATTTGTTTTTTTTTTTTTATTAATTTAACGTATTACGTATTCACGTATTTTTTAAAAAATATATATTTAAAAAGTTCTTTTATTAAAAAACCATGGGACGTGTTATTGTAAAATTGTTTACTACCTCATTCAGTAGAGGCTAGTATGAAAAACTAATGGTGTCACTTCTCAATCCTTCTTATCTAAAAATGAATTTTAAAAAATTATGTAAATAAAAATAATAAAATCAAATTATTTCAAATTTTAAAGTTAAATACTCTCAAATTGTTGTAATTACATATTACTATATTCTTAAAAATATTCCTTACCTGCCATTTAGATCGGTAAATCTATGAACTACTAGACCAAAATATCCTTAACTATATAATCGTGTTACCTTCAATTAAATTAGAAAGCTTTGACTGTTCCATATTGGTCTGTAGATAGTTTTTACTAATTTTTCATTTTGAAAAGCTTCGTCCATGTGATTTTACAAACACATAGATTGTGGGAAATTATAAAAGGTTTGGTGTGGATTTCTGGAAAAAATTGTAGTATAGTTATATATATAGTTACGAATTTTAGAACATGAGATAATAACAAGTGCCTGTTTTTATGGAGATCAATGTTAGCTGTCTATGGGTCCATTTTGAACTTAGGTATTTTCTATAAAACCTTAGCTTTAAATAATTTAAGATTGAAAGAGGTAGATTTGGTAGGGGACGCCAAAAGTATCAATCAGTTGTTTTGCGTTAAACCAGTTTTAAATATATATGTTGCTTCCCATCAATTCTGTTTGGAAATATTTTTTTTGCATTAAATTGTTTGTATGAAATTTCCAGACTGCAAGTACGGAAACTTAAATTTCCGTCATCTCGAATTTCAAAAGTGGTTCGATATTTAATCCAACACCGTACTTTCTGTTATTCAAACTTACAGTTTTGTCAATTGCTGTATCTCTATGAAATTCATTTACTTTGTTATATGAGTAGTAGAATAAACATACAAATTATAACTATATCTAAATGCATGTAACTATTATACACTTCATTACTAAAACAATTGCAATTTGTTATTTGCTTAATTGGTTGGTTGGTTGGTTGCAGTGACTAGTCAGCAGATACCTTTCCACCTTCCTTAGTAAGCGATGTCTTCAAAATCCATTCATCCCATGAAACTCTCATCTACAAGATTCGTTTTGTATGAAATTTAACAAAACTTTTGTCTTAACTGATTTTCAATTCCACGAACTGCCAAAGCTACCAGTTCAAAGGAAATGAATGACTATTTCTTCTTCGTCTAAGTTTCCGTAATAGTCTGTAATGACTATTAAAAGAAATACGTAGTTTCTCTACGTACGTTCCTGTATACCAGTGTTCTGAAAGAACTACATTTAACCTACAATATTTTAGACACTTTCTTGTCAATGTGTTCCAAGGACTAAAGCTTATTGAATGGTTGTCCGGAATTTTACATATGTTTTGATTGACTTCTACTATTATGTATATTTGACTTTATAAAAAATTTATTTAATGAAATCACAATTCTCTTATAATAACTCTCATTTATTACTATTTTATGGGTATAAAAACACCAAGTAGTAAAATTCAAGTACGTTATGTCAGTTTAATTTGACTGCTTATATGTCATATTCTTAGACTTTAAAATCTATGTAGATCTTGGGGTGGACATTTTTGGTAATTTGAGAAGTAATTGGTAACTTTTTAGGAGTGTGTTTGCATTTGGAAAAAATAAATTGTAGTGTGTTTTCAAAATAGACTTTAGTAAGATTTGAACTCAGATATATTGAGCCATAGTTTTAGTTTTAGTTTTAGTGAATACATGCAAAGAAGGGTGCATGTACTCCTTTCATTGGTCCAGAGCCCTTCTGCGGGGTAACAAATAGCTTCATAAATAGCTTATTATGTGAACGGGAGAAACAACATCTACTTGTACGCTGGAGAGCCCAAACAGGCATGCGACAGTTAAAAAGATTCATTACTCCTGATCACATCAAAGTTGATGCTATCCTTGGCCTTAGCAGAAACGATATTAAAATCTACACTGAACTTCTTACAGGACACTGTAGACTTAATTACCACATGAAGATTATAGTTGTGGTAGAAAGTCACTCCTGTCGACTCTGTCATGAGGAGAAGGAAACATCAGAACATGTTCTATGCAACTGCCCAGTGGTGGCAAGACGTAGACTCGATTACCTTGGAATTAAGCCCAGAGCAATTACAAGATTTATGAACAGTCTAAAATTGTCCTAGTTGGGCTTTTAGGCGCACAATAGATCTTTTAGGTCGGGGTGCTTTAATAGCCTATATAAATAAAATAAATAGTGAATACATACTGTAAATATGTAAATTCATCTAGAATTCAATTAACTTTGCAGTTTAATTTTATAACAAGTACGTAAGGCAACAGATTTATGACAATTTAAAGAATTTATTAATCAGAAACGCAATCCGAAGGCAAGTATATACCGTCCTGAGCACATTGTAGATTAGCTGATAGCATCCTGTACCTGATATTCAAAAATCTCCTCTAGACTGAAAACTGTCTGGATTATAATGTTTTACATGTTGTTGATTTAATATCTTAAACATAGTTTTAATATGTTTTCACTGCTTACTTAGATGGTGCAACTTACTAAGTAAATTTCGTTAACCATACAAAGAGCTTCTGCAACCCTTAAAAATAAATTTCCCACAAGAGAAATTTCAAATATTTGTCATATGTTTTAAATGTAAAATGTAAACAAACAATAGCTGAGCTGTGAACAAACGCACTGAGGAAGTAAGTATTTAACAAAATCTTTGTTTTAATTAATTGAATATGCAATGGACATATATATATTTTTTTTTGTTATATATTATTGAGTGAAATTTATTTAAATACACAAAAGTGTTCTTAGAACTTTCAAAGAACTTTCTGCCACATAAAAGCTTTTTCACAAGTAATAAATAACTTATGTCTATGAAAACGACAAAATCCTTAAGTTACTTAAGTAACTTACTAAGTAAGCAGTGGATACATGGTATTAGATAAGCTATGGCACTTTTTTGTTGTATTAATACTATATGTATTATATAAATTCATATCTTATCTATTACAATGTAATGCTATTAAACAGAGATTTGATTTAAAATTTTAAATAGAAATTCTTTTTCTATTTCTATATGAGTTAAGTATTGCGTGAGTTCCTTCTCGGTTGTTGTGTTAACCTCTCATAGAGAATAAATCTATCTTTTTAT